ATATATATATATATATATAATTTATCAAGCTTAGTAACTAAGATGTATTTTATTTACTCTACAAAATTTGAAATTTCGAGCAGACTAAAGACACACCCTACCTCGTTGAAATATTGGTTCAAAAGAAAGAAATGGTGCGAAGCCTGTTAAAATGGCTGAGAAAGCCACTAAGGAGATATTCTGAGCTTCCAATTGGTTATTAGTATTATATATAAAAGTAAGTGTATATAGGGGAGCATTTCCAAAAACAGAAAGATGTGCCACTGTGTTTATTGCATGAGCAAATTGAAAAGAGGCTCTTATTTTATATTCTAGCTTGTCAATATTGGTACTTTGAGTTTCTAATTTGTACGAAACTATAGACATAGTATTTAGACTACACAAACCTCTAATTTGAACCAATGCTGCATGCAACATACCACATGACACACAAAAATCAATGTTTATCTGTGTTTTTCAAATTAAGAAATTGAATAATATATAGTACTAAAATTTGAATTAAAATCTAAAGTTTGATACCAAAATTATTGACATAAATTCATGAAATAGTTGTTCAATAAAATTTCGAATGAGAGTCAACAAACAATGTGATATGGCTTTTCACCCATGACCAGTCTTGAAAGGGTTAAAAGTTATAGTATAAATACTTATCGTGTGCAAATGTGTATACAAATTCCTATATTTTATACTGAGCCCATCACAAAAGGGTAAAGTATGAAAAAAAATAATGCATCATCACTATTGCTTTACTTAACAATATTTCCCAATTTCCAGTTTCACCAACTCTTCCATCTAAATGTTAATGCTTTTCTTTAATTTTATTCTTTATAGTCTTTGTGAGTCAACCTTGGTTTTTTTTTTTTTTTTTTTTTATTATTTGCAGCAATCCTTTTTTCTATAAGGAACATGCTTATCTTGTCATATAGTACTCTGTCAGAAAAAAACTCACTTTTTGTTCAATTCTTTTCTTTAAATGGGTTCAGTAGTTTTGCTGTTTGTATTTGTCATGTTATGATTGTCAAGCACTTACAGGCAAATGAGAAAAATTCATGTACAAAACCTGAAAAGCATAACATCACAAATGCAGACTATTTATGCAAACTAATGAAACATCATACTTGAAAATATAACAGTCAGAAGTCATTAGCTTCTAAATACAATGCAATGTTACTTAATGGTTTACTATTTTTCTAAGTATCCAATCCTCAAAATTAAATCACCTTTATTTAAAAATTAATCAATTCATTATAAATATATTATTCTGCATATTGTCACCACAAAGAAAGCATGCACAAAACTTATGATAGGTTAAGATGTAAGAAACATATTAGGTTAAGTACTTTGAAAATACCCAACAATTTTTATAAAACTTCACAACTGAAATACTTTCACATTTCTCTTCTAATCAGATTCTCTGAAGGCATTTAAAATAATATATATTCACAAGGTATTTTCAGATCATTACATTCCTACCACCCTAACTGAACTGTAAACATGTCCACATTTAAATAAATTTCTAATTCTTACCCATTTTTTCCTTATCTCTACTCATTGCCTTTACTGCTTCTTCGTGACTAGCAAACTCTACATCAGCTTCCCCTGAAGGTCTTCCTGTTTTGTCATAAAGTATCTCAATCCCAATAGGCATAAATGGTCTGAAAAACTTAAAGAATTTCCTTTATCAGAATAACTTAGTATTAATGTCAAACATCAATACAATTTTTAAGCAGCCACACACACACGTAAAATCACAAAATAAGATTCACTTACATCTATGATATCTTGTCTTATAGCTCTGAAAGGTAATCCACGCATGTGCACAAAGTGACCTGATGGACCATAGTCACATCTTCTTCCATTAAATCCATTGTTGCTATTAAATCTGCTACCTATTCCACCTATAACATCCATAGGTTCCATGTTCCTTCCTGGTAATTTTGATAATAACATCTTATATACTTTTTAATATTTACGTTTAAAACAAACAAAAGCAATGTACAGATTCATTCAAGAATATCAATAAGTTAACAAAGTTTTACAATTAAACATACTTAAATATTAACTACCAATTTGTCAAAAAATATAAAGCTTAACATAATTCAGTGAACTGTGTAGAACTTGAAATCACTTTATAATACAGGAAACCTGTAAATATATATCTCAATGGCTCATTACAATTTATTATAGCCACACTGTCAATGGCCATATGTAAATAAATAACACAACTACACTGATTTAGACAATTTGCACTAGCAGTTGTGCTGGAAAATTTGGACAGAGCATTGAATAATTGGAGAATTAGTATACACATGTAACATGTCATCAAAAGTATGCTCAAACTGCCAATACAGTGGTATCTTAACATGCGCTTGAATAAAGCAAATAAATTTTTTTCATCACGTACTCATGCAAAGATTGATTACTGAAGGGTAAAATGATACAGTCACGTGCATTATACACGTAATGGTTCAAAAATCTTAAGAATTGGTCATATAATGTGAAAGAAAGTGTTTTTGTAAAAGAGTGTGAAAGTTTCCATGAATTATGCAAGAGTGAAAATAATGGCAGTCACTATTATTGCTATGTAACAAATTAGCTTATTTTTTGTATGTTTGTCTGTTTGAAGACCCGGCGTTTTTTTTGTTTTTTTTATATCATCTCCACTTCAAGACAAAAGATTGATAATGCACATTGATAAACACATGCTTACTACAAAATACAGAAATATATCATTAACTTCTGAACAAAGTAGCTACCTAGATAAACTTACAGTATATGCTTATAAATAAAACAGAAGACCTGCATAAACAGCTTGCTAGTTTTCTTGCAACCAGAGCATCAACAGAAGACCACTAAAGTAATTATGCTTAATTTCTGATCAAAGCAAGCTATCTACATCAAAGTTAAGCAAAATAAAATCCTAATTTTCATTTTAGATGTGTTTCAGACTTAAATTGAATTAATGATGTTCTGTTAATCTAGTCTTTCCCTTAACTGGGTTTCGAAACAAACAGTTGAAGAAAAATAAAAAATAAGCTTGTCCTTAATCTAATTACATATTTAATTTACAATAGCCACCTAATCCCTTCACTGAAGATATGCAATTTTCCCAACTGTGTTGTAGCACAATAAAATCCCACGAGAATGATACCTACAATATTTGAAAATTGCATCAACTTGTAAAAGCATTAAAACATGACTCAAATGTCAGGAGAAGGAAGAAGTAAAGATTCCAAAATAATCTTGTAGCAAAACACTATAAACTTCAGGAAATAAGAGAAATGTCTTCAGAACTAGGGCTGGTTAGCAAATCCTGCACCCTCACATAAGGTGAAAAAGCATGTGCAAAAGCACCTTGTTTGTTCATGGATGAATAAAAGGACTAAAGATCTGTAAAACAGGCATCTATAAAACTCTGAAACCAACCACACCACACACACCAACAGAATACTTAGCATTAAAAGCTAAAATCTGCTGTTTGATAAAAGTAGAATTTGCAGCCATAAAAACTCAATCAAAATCGTGGGAAGACTGTGGGAATAAAGCTTTACAAAAAGCATTAACTGAAGTTATTAGCTACAAAATTCAGAGTGAGAATGACAGCACACTATGTTAATAGTGGAAATGTCAACAATAACACATCAAATTATTACAGGAAAGCAGAGCGTATTCAAAATCTTGACACGTGGAAAGTGAAGTGTTCTGGGTAAGATACTTTGCATTCTGTAAAAATACAATCAGATATTTAAAGTCACATGTTTGTTGACAACATGAGAGCTACTAAACAAAGAAAACTATCAGTATTTCAGAAAGAAGTGTACCTGTTTTGAATTATTTCTTTAAACCCAAAATTTATGACAAACAGCAACATTGGTTTTCATTTTATAGTTTTAAACTCAGATACAACTAATATTTTTCTAATTTTTAAATCTCAGAAATGAGAAATTATCAATTCTCATAATCAACCCTAGGTAATCAAAATTACACTATTCAAACAATCACTTATACAAAGTATGAATAAAAACCCGTGGCACATACAAGTAGTAATTACATGTTCTAAGTCTGAAAAATATACTTGTTTCATGAAATTATTTTGCATAAATGTAAAGAGTGAAATCAAAATTTCATATTTAAGAGTACTTATAAATAACACATGTAACTCAATAGCCTTCTAAATCCACATCTTCATAACGAAAAGAAACTTTACCTCCTCTGTTTGGTATCCCTCCATAGTTGTTACCAAAGTCTCCATAAGTATCATCATCCATAAACCCTAGAAAATATTTAAATATTATATCAATACATTACTTGCACAGAGCCTGTTATAAATATATTGGATTGGTAATATACTGGTATTCATATGTGATATGGATAAACACAGTAGTAAATAATTTAACTGCAGAAGTCCAGGTTGCAATAATCTATGTAAACAAAATCTCTTGAAACATGAAAAAAAAAACTTTTGTGCCATAAATATTTTTTTAGATCATGCAAGACACCTCTGAAAACATAAAGGAGTTGGTTGAAAAGGATATATCAGGGATTCTGCACATAAACAAGTATGATTCTAAGTTGTACAAAAAAAAAAAAAAAAAATTGAATTCCTCAGTTATGGTTTGGAGATTTACTAAAGGTGGCAATAGAATCTTGAAGTTGAAGAAACAGAAATATAATGTAAATCGAATTTTAGAGGTATATCTGGATTCATCCACATGCTGGCATTAAAGATGTTCTCTAATTCCTCGCAAGACCATAAAGCCAAAGACATTGCCAAATGGCAAATTATGAAATGTAACCATAAATTCTGTTTGTGCAATATAGCAATACACAGTCTAAGGCAAACCATAATTCTGAATAAGAATTTGGGTCAGTAAGAGTAGGTAGCACAAATAGTTAATAAGAAGGCTCTATCATAATATGAGTATAGAAAAGGTTCAAAAGCAGGAGAAGAAAGACATCTTAAAACAAGAACTGTCCCACTGAAGGCAGATTCTAGGAACTGATAGAAAAAGAAAGCAGAAGGCCAGAAAAAATCAGTAAAGGTAAAAGAGGACAGCTATGCAGCCTACCACAGAAGAAACTGATAATCCACATCATTAAATAGCAACATGAAGAATGAGACAATTTGTTCAGGAGTTGCAAACAAAAGATAAAAAAAACAATTTCTAAGCCACTAACTCTTACAAATAGCCCAATGAGATTTGTAGACACCAAAGATGAAAATCAGCAAAAATGTGATAACATTGAGTAGCCTGAAAAAAAGAATCCAGCTTTTCTAACAGAGAAATGAATAACAACTAGCCATGAAGCTGTAAATAAAGTACATCACTACGGACGGACTGGTGTTCCACACTGCCACAGACAATGTCTCCAACGAGGCTGCAAAATGTCATTCCCTTAAAACATATGACACAGCAGGAGAGAACATGGTTGAAAAGGCTGGTGTGTAGCAAGAACTCAACATTTAAATGAACAGAGGAAAATTCTCCAAGGTAACACGTTTCAAGATAGGAAGCCACTGAGTATCAAAAATTCATTGAAGGTATCTCATGTAAGCACAACCCAAGGGAATCACCCCCATCATAAGAAGCCACTGTCCTGAGAGCAGAGAAAATCTTTGGCAAACCGACAAGATAAAAGTAGGTGCATCTAAGAATCCAGGAATTGCAATGCCAATGGAGACAAATAAGATTTCCTCCAAATGTGTTTATTCAAAGTCTCATATGCACCAAGCTAAGACTTGGACTCATTGATAATCCATCCCAGGGAAGAAAGTAACGGAGTGGTTAATTAAGAGTAAGTAAACAACAAGAGTGACAAATCAGTTGGAATAAGCCTATCACCCTTACAATAATGAATTGAATATTGATATTCAGAGTATGTAGAATACTAGTAAAGGCTTCAACTCTGTCTGTCTGTCTGTCTGTCTGCGTGCGTGAGTATGTATGAGAGACAGAGAGAAGTAAGAAGCTGAAGCCAGACCAAAAGCAAGGGTAATGCACTGATAAATCATCCCCCAATTGTAAAAGCATAGAAAGTGTCAAGAAGACAAATTAATCTGAACATGATGTGTAGTATTTTTGATACTTACTTTTCTCACCCGCAGACCAAGAAGGAACTGTCACATTCTCAAGTTCGTCAACTTAAATTGGAAATATCCAGTTAACAATTTGAAGGTTGAGATGGGAAAGATCCATTATTTGTCTTCAATCTCCCAATTTTTTAGAAGCACAAAGAGACCAGAGTAAAAACCTAGGGAATGCAGTGCAATGCTTTGAAAGTCTCTTTCACTAAAAAGTCCAAAACTTCCTGATCAAAAATTTGAATGCATCACAACCAGAAAGCTTTTTATGGAATTACCAGGATTCAAACTGCTGAACCTATGATCCTGAATACAGGCACTCTAACCAATTGGCTATCAAGTGGTTAGAGTACCCGTATTTCGGATCATTCTGGTTGTGATGCATACAGAAAATATCTGATATAACACCTAACAACAGTGGGAGAATTCACTGGTCGAAACATTGTGAAAATAATAATAATACATACAATAAAGATGGGAATAATAGTCTGTATAATTATATCATTAGTAATTGTCCTGTCTGTTTTTCTAGGATCAAAGCAAATGTTGTCATTAAATTATATAATATACTGTGACAAGAATCATATGAAATCTACAAACAATTATTTTAAAACATAGGATTAGTTTTTTTTTTGTTTAAGTAGTCATCTTCTGAAAACCTGTTAGGAGAAATCCACAGTTTGTATTAAGCATATTTTCAGCTTGTTACAGGCTTCATACTAAGTTACACATGATATATTTTCATGTAAAACAGTAATTTAATCCTAAATGTTCTTACCTAAAGATGTCTATCAGAAAAGTTTGAAAAAGTCTCAAAAACAAGCTGAAAATAGGAAGATGAGAATAAATTACTAGCTGATTAATGCAATTGATTAATGAGTTAAATGATTAATTGATTAGCAAATCCCACTAATTACCCAACCGTAATGAGAAGTCAGTGTGGAACTACCCCCCCCCCTCTCCTCTAATTAAAAAAAAAACTGATGGTCTAAGGTTTGAGAATGGAATAAGGATACAAAGAGTACGAAATGCAAGACAATTTCAGTCCTTGAAAATATCACCAATTTCTAAAAGCATAAGATGTGTCCCAAATGTCAGGAGGACGAGTAAAAAGTAAAGATTCCATAATGGAATCCATTAATAAAACTAGAACATTCAGGTGTAACAGAATTTTTCCAGATTTAAAATGTTCCATACCTGGGAAACAAGAGAAATACGTTCTTTTTGGTGGGGTTAGAATCTGGTGGATGCAAATCTAATGGGTTATCAGCTTTTATTTTTTGTATGAACAAGCTTGTTGTTTTGAACAGGCCTTTTCACCTATGTCTAAGGGTGCAGGATTTGCCAGCCACCCCAAGTACTAAATAACCTTCTGCACACGAAAGCTTCAAAACGATTTCACAAAGAAAAAAAAAGGATTATTGCACACTTCAGAAATTGTGACAAAAATGAGAGTACACTATGTTAAAAGCATGACTGTAAACAAGAAAATGTAAATTACAGCAGTAAATAAGAGCTTATGTAAGTTCTTCTGACATGTACAAAAAGTCAAGTAAAAATTTGGTGGATACTCTACATTGTGTCAAGAACATTCAGAAGTTTAAATCATGTGGTTGGTGAACAGCATGAGAGCAACTCAACAAGCAAAAGGCTATCAATGTTTCAGAGGTAAGTCTATCTGATTTTAATTATTTTCTTATAACCAAAATCTGTTGATGAAAATATCAGCACAAGTTTTCATTTTATAATATTTTAAATAGGTAATTTGTACTTAACTCAGATAAAGATATAATAAAAGAATTCTTAATTTTTTAACTCTCAGTAAAAAAAATTAAGATAATTATCAAATTTCATATTTAATCATACATAATAAAAAAAAACCCACAATTCAATCTCTTATAAAAAGAATAAATTCAAAAGACTTTTAACACAACCAAGGAATAACTATATGCTACATAGTCTGTGAAGAATTTCTTTGTTTCATGAAATTATTTTGCTATAGAAAAAAATTATAAAAGTTGATAGTTAAGAGGTAGTTTTGTAACAATTCAAAAATCCTACTAACTTCACTATAAAACAAAAAACAACATTACCTCCTCTTTTTGGTAACCCTCCATAGTTATTACCAACATCTCCATAAGTGTCATCATCTATAAACCCTAAAACATAAAATTTCAATCAAAAACATTATTTGCACAAAGCCTATTACAAATATCTTGAATTGATAATATACTTGTATTCGTATGTGACAAAGACAAACAGAGAGGAAAATAATATGCCATGAAAGTTCTGGCTGTAGTAATCAGTATAAACCCAGAATCCCCTAAAATATAATTTTTGTTTTCATAAGTAGGTTTTACATTCCACAAGACACCTCTGAAAACAAAGGAGCCAAGAGTCGAGGTCACCACACATACTTAAGTGTGATTCTGAACTGTAAAAAGAAAATTATGATTGAGCTCTTCAGTTATGGATTCTTGAACTTGAAGAGACACCAATGTGATATAAAGATATCCTCTAATGCAGTTGTTTCCAATGATCAGTCTACAAGAAGGTTGAAAAAATTTGTTTTACAAAGTAATATAAAAGTACTGTAAAAAGTAGATATTGGATGAAGCTGTGCATGAAATTTTGAGATCAGAACTAGCTGATCCTCAGTTGGAAAAAGGTTGTAAACCGTTGCTCTAATGCATACCTATATCTGAAAAGCCAAACTGTCAAACAGGAAATTTTGTGAGATGTAAGCAGAAATTCACTTTTAAGGGTTTCAGATAGGTCAAGATAGAATGACAGATAAGCTGTACAAGCCAATTCGTTCATGTAGATTGAGTATGAATCATGGAGAAAGATTTATTTTAAGCTATAAACAATTTTTTGTGCCCCTCTGAAAGATTACATTAATAACACAGAGCAAAGAACTGGTCTGGATTAGCAAAAGTAGATAACACAAATTGTTAAAAACTGTGGTTACCTTCTCTTGAAACTCAAATTGTGGTAGTTAGGCTTTAACATATGAAGTTATAAGTATAAAGCTTTCTGAAAAAAAAAGTACCACAAGAATTGAGAGCATAAATTTCAGATCTTATCATACAAAAAGTAAGAAACAGAAGAAAAATATGCTTTCAGTGAAAGAGAGTAGGGCAAACAAGTAATTACAATTTCAAATGGAAGAAAAGAGAAATATCTTAAAATAAGACCTCAGTCCAACTGAGGACAATATTTAGGGACCTGGGAAAGATGTAAGGAAAAAGGATCTGTAAAGGTGGCAGAGAGTGAAGCTTTGTAATCTTATATATATTGCAAACCGTGATGTCTGTATGAGTATTTGACTGTCTACTGTTTGAAAAGATGCACATGCAGCAAAGCTCAACATTCATTTTTGAAATGATGAGAGAACAGGCATGAATAATATTGATGCCAAATTTTATTTTGCAAGCAGGATATTCTACACTAAAATGTTAGGAATTAATCAATTAATCATACTATCATTCACATTTAAAAATGTGACATAAGTTAAAAAGTAAGAATGTAGATTTACAGTACGTCATTGTTGAGTGGCTCTCAGCTTGACTGAAATCCTTAACAATTACTTCTCGCGATAGGCGGTATAAGTAGCTCAAAGCTTTGGCTCCGAGTAAAACCAAGAGTGCAACACAATTAACCTTTTTAAAGTCCATGAAATAATATAAATTCATAGATTAACCTTCGCTTTATCCATCAGTGGGGACTGGTATTTTGCTTGTCTGCCATAAAAGCTGATAAACCAGATCATGAAATAACATACAGAATGAGGCAACATGTTAAGGAGTTAGAGAAATATAAAAAACAGAATTTCTAAAGGACTGATTCCTGCAAATAGACAATAAAGAGATCTGTAGATGACTAGGGATGAGCATCAGCAAGAATTTGATAACATTTAAGCTGCTCAGGAGAGATAACTGGCTTCTCTATACAAAGGACTACATAACAACCAGACTTAAAAGCTGTAGATGAATGATTTTGTGGAAGATGGACATTTGATCTTGGAATACACGTCTTGAACAAGGTAGCAAAATAGATGATGCAGCAGGGGAACTAAGATTCAGCTAGTCAGTGTGTAGCAATAAGGAGAACTTGACATGTTGTTAAATGCAGATGAAAAAACTGGCTCAACACATCCACTTCTGGAAAACTTGGGTCTGTAATAACTGGATACCAATAAAGTTGAAGAATACAGATGTTTGGCATTTTAAAGTCATCAAACATAGGACAACTAAGCTATTAGCACAACCAAATAAAAGATGAATGGTACACTCCACAGAGAGAAACTGATGATCTCTGGAAAGAGAATCTGCAAGAATTTTCATAACTAGCAGATTACAGGCTTGGAGATAAATATGATGTGAATGGGGCTAAAAATGAAGAGGGACAGTACAAAAAATAAAGCATGCAGGATCAAGTTCCTACCCGATTGTTGATACATAGTACCCTAGCTTTTAAAAAAGGCAACCTTGTAGGGGTGTAGATCATCATGAAGTGGAAGAAAAGGAACTGAGCAAAAATAGAAGGTAATCAAGAGTTGCAGCCAGAGAGAAATTCTCCAAGATAATGAGTTTGAAAATAAATTCTACTGAAAGGTAAGACTTTACTGAAGGTGTCTCATGCGAGCACAACCTAAGAGGATTACTTGGTAAAGATATGCCACTGTCCCAAAAGCTGAGGACATAAAAGACAGAGTAGACAACAGAAGTAGGCATACAAAGAATACAAGGATTGCAAAGCCAAAAAAAAAAAAAAAGTTACAAATTCCTTGAAATGTGTTTATCTAAAAACCCAGATGCATTAATTTCTGGGTTCATACAAGTTAGACTTAGACTCATGGCTAATCCATCTCATCTTTGCTTCTACACATCCTATTCAAAAGGAACAAAGCAATGAGAAAAAGCAGAAGACTGAGAAGTAGTATATAAAAAGTGGGTAATGCAAAAATGATGGCTATTACATACAGGGCATCTAAAAGTTGGATTACAGCTGGAAGTAACAAAGCCTTATTCAACTCATGCTCACAAGTTTCTCCTGATTGAGAAATCAATTCTGAGGAAATACTGACAAATGCAAAAGGGTTTAAGAAAGACAAATTTTGAAGGTTATCAAAAATTCTGTAAAGGATGAAAACCCTTTAGTAATAGCTTGATCACATAAAATGTTAAAGTACCGTATTTTCACATAAATAACTCACCCCCTGATATACCCCACACCTGAGGAAAAAAGTGCTCTAAAAAACTTTTAAGCATGTATCACCCGCTCTTGTGTATACCCAGCAACCAAATGACACAGACAAATTTTGAAAGACAAGAAAAATTAATCCTTTTACATTACAGTAATACAATAAAACCTTCACTAAACAAAAATTCAAGATTAGAGGTTAGTAACTTGTGGCTACCATTGGTTGAACAAAGAAAGGAAGTCCACAATCCACCAGAATACTGTAATGACTGACAACACTATAAATGCACTGACCCAAAGATGAAAGGTATGCAGAAGAACACTGCAACAGAAGCTGTGGACAAAAAATCTGTGTAATAGTGGCAGAAAAAACAGCCAAAATTAAAAAAGAAATACCAAAAACTAAACGAGCCATGAGGGATGGATATGCAAAGTTGCCAACATTGGGAGAAGATTTAGGTTACATCACAGAGAGATGTGGGCCATCATTATCCATGACCCTGATACGCCTTCAAATGTAGCAAATTGCCAAGCAGATTGGTATTGCTGATTTTATGGGAGGTCTTTCTTGGTGTTTCAAATTCATGAAACGAAACAGACTATCTGTTAGAGCCAGGATGACCATTGGACTAAAAGCATTCCATAGACTGTAGAGTTAAAGTGTATTGCTGCTTGGAATGTGTTGTCATCCATGCATCGTATTTCTTCTATAACTGATAAATACAGCCAAAAGTATTCATATTTATACTTTGTCTTTTGATCAGAGAATAACTGGGATGCACTTATCGGCCGACTGATGTAGCACTCCACATGTTGAACAACAACATAAACATAAACAAATATTCGAAATAGAAAATTGGTGATTTCAGTCTTAAAAACAACAACAAAAAATATTGCATTACATGCACGTGAGTATACCCTACAAGCAATACACTTAGTAGACTAGACTAATCCAGTAACAGTTGCAAAAAGACAACATGTAAAGAATCCAATAAATCCTGGAAAAAAGACTAAAGAAAAAAAGAACAGCTAACACCTAGTAATTGAGGTAGAAAGTCTTAAAATAAGCATAATCATAAGAGTGCAGGAGAAAGGACCAATGAGAAGCCAGAGTTATACAAGATACAATGTCTTCAAGTAAAAAAAAAAAAAAGGTACCTTAAACCTATCTCATATCAAGCAACTTAAAGTGTGACATCTTCATTTACGTTTTTAAATATATCTAAAGGATAATTACATCAATAATTGAATGAATATGAACTGAATCAAATGAATAGATGGGTATTGAAATACAGTTTCTAGCATTGTAAGTCCACAAACATACTGCTGTGCCACTTGGGGGCAGCTAGAGAGAACACAGCTATAAGGTCAGAGGAGTGATAAATGTAAGAAAATTGAAACAATTTCTAAAAGTACAAACCATGACCCAAGTATCAGAAGAAGGAAGACTAAGAACAAAACTTCAAAAGATTCCAAAAGAAACATTAATTGCAGAATTAGCTTCAGAATTCACAAGTCAAATGGTTAACAGCATGAAAGCAACTCAACAAGGTTATCAGTATATCAGAGGTCAGTCTACCCAATTTAAATAATTTTTAATAACCAAAATTTGTTGAGGAAAATAGCAACATATATTCATTTTATATCTTTAACATGCCATTTGTATTAAACTTACATACAATTTTAATATACATTAAGAACAGTATCAACTTCCACATTCACCCCTTGTAATGAAAATTTACAGTAATCAAATAATATCTTATATAAGGTAGAAATATAAAAAAAAAAAAATTATGGCACAACCAAATAGCAAGAACATGCTCTACAGTCTGTAAGAAAGTTATTTGTTTCATAAAATGATTTAGCATTACTGTAAACATTATTATAAAAGATAATATTTAAGATATTTATAAAATCTTTCGAACACGACATCATTAAAACAAAAAATAAAAACGTTACCTCCTCTTTTTGGTAACCCTCCATAGTTGCTACCAAAGTCTCCATAAGTATCATCATCCATGAACCCTAAAACATATTTAAAATTCATATCAAAAAATGTTATTTGCACAAAGCCTGTTATAAGTATATTGGATTGGTAATATACTGGTCAGTTACTTGAAAATAATGTAAAACAATCCAGTATTAAAACAAACTTCATTATTTACTCATTACCTCATTTAATTCTAAAACCACCTTTTCCTATTTGTATTTTTAAAACACTCACCATATTTCAATAATATACCAGTTGGTGAAAGTTTTGCAGATGGTGCTTCTTGTCACTTTTTCTTTTGCAAATAAATGTTTGACCCACAATTACTGAAAACACATTTTATGTATTATACATCGTTAACAATTAAGATTTCAATCACATATGCACCAAGAAAACCAGTTTAACAAAATTCTCCTTCCAACTTCTAAAATTTTTTTGCCGGACAAATCTTTTTTTCACTCTGCTATAACATGTCGTGAAATAGCTGTGTAAAAAAAATTATATAATGAAACTGTTACTTTAAGTTAACATTTCATCTTAAAATAAAACTCCACTCAGCTAATATTATCTTAGCTCACTGATCCAGAAACAAAGATTGTTTTTATTTTGTTTTGTTTTTTTACAAGATTACTTATGCAATCACCCAAATTTCCTTTTAATGAATCAAAAAGACATTTCAGTTACACTATATATATAACTCAAGTAAAAATTAAAATAATATGCATGACTTCACACTTTGAATGAAGCATTTGAATAAAGAATAATAATGATTCATTTATTTCATAGTTTTGTCTGTTTAAACTGGATTGTGTGCAAACTGTATCACTATATTACTCAAGAACATATTTTAGTTTATATAAATCTGAACATGAACCATGCATTTAACAATAAAAACTGTACAAGAGCATACATATGTAATGACCTTCATGGCAGGATGTTCTTAAAATGAAGATGGAATATAAAAGATAAAGCAAGAAAACAGTTAAAATGGTATGATGATGTTATAGGGTGATTATTCAAAGCATTCAATTTTCTTGCCAACAATGGTTCTTACTATAAGTACTTCTTTCAGGTTTGTTTGTTTTTTCTTATCAACTTTATTGCCCAAGTAAGTTGTTCTGGCAACAAGAATTAAGACTACTTCATAGTGAAACCATAGCAAATTATTTATCTGTCAGTAACAATGTATTAAAGTGAAATTTACATAACAGCATACAGTTTGGTGTAAAAATCCTAAGCTAAAAAATGGTTTTACTTAAAATACCTTGATTATAAAACATGCTGTACACAACACGTATATACACACATACGGATATAATCACACAATTAAATGTACATTTGATGAATAAAAGTATTTTATCAAATTCAATTGCAAGAAGAAGAAAAAATAATACAGTTACTCTATTTGCACATTCTGTTAACACCTGGTAATAACCATATGATTAAAAGTTCATTCGGATAACATAAGTGCTTTTAATTAGATCTGTTATAAGCAAATAAACATTTCCTGGCAATAATTATTTTTCTGGATATATTATCTAAATTTTTCTTTCATAGAAAGTCAATGTAAGAAAGATATTGAGAAAAATTATGACAACGAAAATTCTTTTTTCACAACTAAAGGTTTTTTTACCCTTACCTCTAAAACTACGGGAGCCTCTATTAAGACCACTGCGGCCGCCAAGACCACCAAGTCGATCATTTCTGTCATATGGGCTTGGTCTAGCTGACATCATTCGCATTCTTTGGTGGCCCATTCCTATCACAGTTTTCACTTCCTGAAGGCTGCTCTTGAATATCTCAATGTACCTAGTATATTTGAAATCTCAACTTAATACTTACCCATTTTCGAAAGTTCGTACAAATTGGCACAATCTTTAAATGGCTACACAAAGCAACTATTTATTAGCATTATTCTTGACATTTCATTCTTTCTTTCCTTAAACTCTTTTCAGAAATAATAAAGAAAAAATAATCATATACTAAAATCAACAAACGCTCCACATATATCTTAAATGTTCATGTCTTTGAAGATATGATAAAATCTTTAAAAAATATGATAAATCTTCACTATGTAACCCTTTTGAAAATTAGAAAAGAGCAAGATAGAAAGGTACAGGTTTTTTTTAATAGTGCTTAAATCTTTACCAATTATTAGTAGTACCAGAACTTTGTATCTTAACAATAATTAGACCAATCTACTAACATTCCAATTTTTAAATCTAAACTGTTTTAAGTTAAGTATCACATTACATAATTTGTTTTCCGTAAATTAAGTGTAAATATTTACAGAAACCAACAGAAAGGATTTGCTTATAAATTGTCATACATAAAAACATGTTAAGTGTTTCTTTTGAGAACAAAATTATTATACTGATGCCCAAAAGAAACGCACTGAATATCTTGCATTTTTATAAAGTCACGACTTGAGCCCAGGATTTTACCCCAAGATACAACACTAATCAAACAATTTACAGACCTATTTGCTCACTACTTCAAATATAAAGAATATTTTGTATGTGCCCAAGGAGCTATTGATGTAAAACTTAATGTTGCATTTTCATTGTGCATCAGTATATGAACATTCAAATGTTGCTTTCTTAATAATACTTCACTTATGTAACATTCCAATACCAATTCATAATAAACTGAGTTTTAGATTTCTTTTTTAAAAGTTGTAAACCATATGAAAAATTAACACTCACAACTAATTACTTATACAACTTTATATCAGTAGTCAAAACAATTTATCACAAATGAAATAATCACAAAAGAACAAGTGTTCATTTAAAAGCCATTCATGTCAGAGAAATAAAACTTGTTTGCAGAGCCTATATTAAAAACTTTTAAAGGATCACTGACGTGAAACTATATTAACTTGTGTTATGAACAAAAACAACAGCTAATAAACATATTTAAAATATTGGTGTGTTTAAAAGTTAATTAACACATACATGTTCTCCGAGATGAATGTGATCCTAAAATTACCATATAATCATATAAAGGACTTAATAAGGTAAACTTCATTCTTCATCAACTTAAACATTATTTTGGATTTTCCCACTCATCTTCCTTACACAAAATCAGCTTATTCAAGATATATATGTAAAACTGCATATATATTTCATTAAAAGTAACAGTGTACATAAATGGTGTTGGTCAAACCAACAATCATTACCATAATACACAAATTAGAAGTTACTTTTGAAACATGTTACTAACCATTAATGAAACAAATATTTCAGCAGAGAATTTCTTGGAAAACTTTGCAAAGACTTTTGCAATACCTTCTTATAAACAGCTTTCAATTCCTAGTATGTGCAATCAAATCATGCTACACCACTTTTTTTTTTGCTCGTAATCCATTTAATTAGTCCATTACAGATTTCCAATAAAAGATACATAACAAACAGCACTTCAGATGCATCTTTTAATGACCATAATTCACTGCTCAGGAAACCTTTTGCCTAACATCAGAACTCATCTGCTATACTGAACATTATGGCAGCCTTAAGACAACAATCCAAGCCAGAAATGTCCTGTTTAAATCACACTAAAACTTCAGTGTTTTACTTTGGGCCTAGACCAAGTTTGTAATAATTTGTTACACAAGTTTTGTAAGCAAAGAGATATATCCTAATGTTTTACTTAACTGCTTAAAGTTGAACATCCAAAAGTAAGCATTTAATTTGACTAACAAATGCTGAACATCACTGTAAAACATTACAATGAAATTGTTTATATCCACAAATGAGCTTCAGCTTTACACAGATGATGAAACAAGCTTACTCTACTCAAAATGTCACATGAATTCTATATTGCTAGATATGTAATTTAAGATGGAAAAGAAAACTCAAAATTATTAATTTTTATCTGTGTTCATTAAGTTCAGGCTATTCCAAAATATATTACTGGTTGTGTGTGTGTGTGTGTGTGTGTGTGTGTGTGTGTGTGTGTGTGTGTGTGTGTGTGTGTAGTAGTAGTAAGTAGTAGTTAGTAGTTAGTAGTAGTAGT